TCGTCATTGTTGTTTGGTGGGTCCACGCTGGGGATTCGAACCCGCCACCTTAGGTGTACGTGGCTGGCGCCTTAGCCGGTTGAGCTATAGGCGCCGAGCCAGTACTTTCTTCCTATCTAACCACATGCTTCTACAGAATTCCATGGAAAGGGAGCCACTCGAGTCACCTGGAGTGACTATACCAGATACTTGTCATCCTCTACCCAATAGTTCCCCTGCCTTTTTTCCTGCCAGAACCCATATTTTGTACTGGGTGGAAATCTCCTGATTCCAGGAAACATTGGCTGGTTCCCCAACCCTAAGAGATGAGTCTTAATTGGTCTCATGGTACATGTATTCCTCCCCTTTGCCAATGATTGGTCTAAGGATGGGCATGTGACTCAGTTCTGACCAATAAGACATGAAGGGAAGTCTGTATGGCAATCTGAGGAAGCGTATTTTATAAATAAAAGGGAAAGATGCAGTTTGGCACCATTGTGGCCCCACCTCCATAGCCCTTTCTTCCTTCCTTGAAGGAACAGGACTTACAGCAGCCTGAGGGTGATACCCTGCAGATGACAGGCAGGACTATGGAGCTCAAGTCCTTGGTGGCCAAAATGAGCTGCTGAACCAATGCCAACCACCACCTGCCTCCAGACTTCCTGTTAAGTAAACATTAAATGACCTTAAGGTTTAAGCCACTGTTCACTGAGTTTTCTCTCATTTGCACTCAAAAGCATTCCTAATCAGCCCAGGCCATAAATGTTAGTGCAACCCCAGCTAAGCTAGGAGATGTTCAGAAAAAGCCTTTGGTCACCTCCTCAGCTGGGAGTTCTGCCCTCCTTCAGGTCTCCACCCAGTTTTTTGACAGCCCTAAACCAGATGATGTCTTGTAGAGTCCTCCATCCACCCCACCAAAGCCTCGCCCATCACACCTGGCCATCCTAGTCATCCTTCAGTGCCCACCTCAGATAACCTTTGCTGACCTTGCTCACTACCACTAAGCATGCCCTAATGGACCACACTGATCTATCATTAAATTTACCAATCACACTTATTGTGGCCTGCCTTGGATTAGCCGTAGTGTCAGCACTAGATCCAGTAAGCAGTCCAAGCCCTCATTCTGGTGTGGAAGGCAGTGATGGAGCGGTGTGTAAGAAGGAAGCCTTCAGTTTCTCCTTACTGCCATCCCCTCCAAACACTGTGCTTCTTAGGGAAAGGCCCACCTGGTTTGATTCAGCTCGGCCCTGAGACCATCTCAAAGGAGGCAACAGAAAGAGACCCAGGTTTGGTGACCTTCCCTGAGCAGGCAGGTCTTCTTGTGGACTTGCTCTCAGCCATTCACCTTTCCCTACAAGCCCTATAAAGCCAAGGCTCTTAATGTCTAGACTAGCAGTTCTCAATCTGTGGGTGGCAACCCACAGGAACTGTATCAAAGGCTCGCTGCACTAGGAAGGTTGAGAACCACTGGTCTAGACAAAGGAGCAGTGGGCAGGAGTCAGTAGGTCTAGGTTGGGACTGATTGCAACTGCCACTGACCTGTGTGACTTAGGACACTTTACTTGGCCTCTCCAAGCTTCAGTTTTCTTGGAAGACAAACAAGGATCATAACATCTGTCTGACAGGGTTGCTGCAAAGATTCAATGAGATAACCAGTGGATTCACCAGGTACAGGAAGGCCTGGCACCAAGAAGGAGGGTAATTATTCATTTACCTCCCTACAAAACACCCCACACATGGGAGAAAACCAGAGATGAGTCAGCACAGGAACTTTCCATGGGAGACAGAGCGTTTAATGACAGCAAGACCTCCATGGTGTGGTCAGGAATTATTCCATCCAAGGAACCAGATGGACACTTGGTCCCCAGTGGGGTTTCCTTAGGTTCCCATACTTCTTCCTGCCCTGAAAATGCCACCCAAGGGCCTCCTCTGTCTGCCACTGCCTCTCTTCCAGAGCAGCACCAGAAGGAAGGAAAAGGGGGTGGGGGGAGAGAGGGAGGGTGGTTGCTTCTCATGTCTCTCTCACATGGGCTTCTGAGGGTTCCCACAACTGCTCTGGAGTCATTGCCCAACTCTGGGTCTTTGTTGCAGTAAGTTCAGGTGGACCGCTCACCAACAGGGGCTGTCTGCTCAGGGATCACTGAGCACTGCTCATCCTCGGTCGTGCCTGTTGCCTCCAGGCTGGGCTGTGAAGGCCAGTCACAAAGAGGAGGCTTTCCCCAGAGGAGCTCAGGCTCTGGCGTGACAGACTCTGAAGTAACTGAGCCCTGGGACATCAGCAGCTGTCTATCCTGAGCCTGCAGGTAAGGGAGGACCTAGAAAGTGCCACCACTGCCCTTACTCGGAGTGTGACCAGCCATGTGGGGAGGCAGGGAAAGCATCTCATGGAAGAGCCACCCTGACGTGCCCAGGAGAAAAGGGGGATACAGAGGACCCCAGCCAGGACCTCTCAGCAAATGTTGACCCAGGAGACTGGGAACCTAGGAGTTGCAGGAAGCTCCCTGGAGGGCTGGGACAGGAGTCCAAACGGTCAATTAAAATGGAACGGGGTGGGGGTGGGGGGCAGACCAGCCAGTGATATGCTTTGCAAGAGAAGCCAGGTGCTCTCTGGAAGTTAGCAAGCCAAAGTCCTCGTCTTTTGGTGGTGGCCACACAAGCAGTTCTGAGAGTCTGCAGGAGGGTCTGATTCGCACGATCAGTAGTGGGAGCTGCCCAAGACCAAGCATTCTGCCCCTGACTGGGGTGTCCCCTTCACAGTGACAGAGATGATCTTAGGTGGCCCAAGGTGAGCCAGAAGAGGCACAGGAGCTGTAGCTTGTTTTCTTAGCTTCCAACCTGGGGCTCTGATTCCCATTTAAACTCCCTGGGACTAAGCAAGTGAAAACCAGAGCCCGGTGCAGGCCAGCATGGTGGCTGCTTGAGGCTGAGGAGGTCCATGGGCCTGCGTCCCTGCCCCTCCGCTGCCCGCCATCCCACAGAAGATGGCAGGGCTTGGAGAGAGACGGGCACCAGCAGCCTCCTGTAGGCTCCTTCACTTCCCAAGCCTGCCCTCCGATCGCCGGTCCCCATCTCTGCATCTGGGTCTGAAGGAGGAGGTGGCCTGCTGGCCTGGTGGGGTATAGGCATCATTGGGTCACTTTGGGGTGTGAGCCCCAAAACTCTGTGCAAGGTATGCCAGAAGGTTTGGTAGTCTTCAGGAGGGCGGGGCTGTGTGCGTGGTCTTGTGGCTCTTCCTAAGTCTCAGTGTGTGTCACGTTAGCCCAGTCAGGGAAATGATCCAAGTCAAATATGATCCGTCCCCATGTGTTGACTGCCAGAAACACACAGAAGACTCCAATTATATTCATCATGAATCCTGTTTTCACCTGGAAGAAAAATATGGTCAGAGTCAGTGCACTCAAGGCTGACGGCTGGGCTGCCAGGACAAGGGCAAATGGATGCTGGGAACTAGTCTCCTCAGAGAGGAGACAAAGGGCCAGTTTTCTGGGAATCGGTGTCCCCAAGTCATGCTCTGTGCTCCACCAACCCCAGATGAAGCCATTTTCCGTCCACTAGGCTCAGAGCATCACTGGGAAGGAGGCAGGATGGATGGGTTCTCTATGCCCATTTTAACATTTAGAAAATGACCTTCCAGGAGTGACATGAGGCAACAGCGTCAGGCACTCAGGGAAGTAGTGGTGGAGCCCAGGGTGTGACTTTAGGCCTAGTGCTCACCCCTACAGCTCACCATCTTGCAAGGATGCGCCAGCTTCCCTGGGAACCTCCCCTGGGTCTTTCTGATGACTGCTCTGCCTTCTATCCTAATGCTCACTAACCACTGCTTTAATGCCCTGTAGTAGATTTTTACTGGGGACTGAAGTCAGGTTGGCAGTCCTCGGTTTCTGGGATCCACCCTCTTTAAGAAAATGCTCCATGGAGTCCTGAAGATACCCAGCACAGGCTCTGATTGATCCAAGGTTTTGCTTCTGGAGCTCACAGATTTGTCCCTTCCCACTCCTAGAACAGCAAAGCTGCCCTCCTTCTCCCATCACAGGTGATAAAGCTAAGCCGGGCATGAAGAGTTCTTCCTGTGGCTAAATTCTGGTTTGTTTTTTTTTTCTTTGAGATAGAGTTTAATTCTGTTGCCCAGGCCAGAGAGATGTGCATCAGCCTAGCTCACAGCAACCTCAAACTCCTGGGTTCAAGTGGTCCTCTTGCCTCACTCAGCCTCCCCAGTAGCTGGGACTACACGCACCCACCACAATGTCTGGCTAATTTTTCTATTTTTAGTAGAGATGGAGTCTCACTTTTGCTCAGGCTGGTCTCAAACTCCTGAGCTCAGGAAATCCACCTGCCTTGCCCTCCCAAAGTGCTAGGATTATAGGCGAGAGCCACCATGGCCCGCCTGACTCTTCTTTGGCTACATTTGTTTCCAAGGCTTTATGGACTCCCAAGCAGTGGTCTGTTTCTACCCTTCCTGCTTCTTCCTCTTTTGAAGCCTCCACAAATCTCTTTGACTGTCATTAGCCTTTTTTCCCCCAACTCTAAGCCTACTCACCTGACTATCTTCATGGATTCTTGTTAGTTTGTGAAGTCTGGCCTTGGTCATGTGGGCCCCCAACTCCCACCCCTACTATGTGCCCAGCGAGGGATCCCTGGGTGCCTGCACAGACTTCTCCAGTGGGAGATTTCATAACCCACCTTGGGAAAAGAACCATCTATAAAGATTGAGATCATTTCAAAAAAGAAGAAAAGCTACATCATAAATGTAAATAATGTCGGCTCAGCGCCCGCTGGCCACATGCACCAGGGCTGGTGGGTTTAAGCCCAGTCCAGGCCTGCTAACAACAATGACAACAACAACAACAAAATAGCTGGGCATCGTGGTGGGTGCCTGCAGTCCCAGCTACTTGGGAGGCTGAGGCAAGAGAATCACTTAAGCTGAAGTTTGGGGTTGCTGTGAGCTGTGATGCCACAGCACTCTACCAAGAGCGATATGGTGAGACACTATCTCAAAGAAAAACAATGTAAATAATGTGTAAAGATCTGGACATTCTGTGATAGTCCAAATCCTATGACATTTGGAAACAGACATGTTCATAAATGGGGAATCCCTTATGACAAACAACAGCATTCAGTCTGATAGGAGCAAATAAAACCAGCCATGTTACCATGTCAGGAACCTTGAGGTGTCCATAGGCAAACACGATGGCATTTGGTGGGGTGGCCACAGGCAACATGAAGGCAAAGGACGCACTCAGGGTACAGGGCAGCATGACATACAGCGGGTTGAGGCCAATGGAACGAGACTGGGGGGAAACACAGCACTGTAAAATCACAATACAGAACATAAAAGTTCCTAGGGCCATAATTCTGACAAGCATTCCCCGGGTGAACCAGGGAAGTTTGGACCTCTGTGCCTTTGTCTTGCTGGCTTTGCTACCTTTAGCCACGTCTCTCTGGCTGATGACTCTACTGAATCCTGAAGGCTGAGTTCAGAGCCCATCTCCCTTGAGCCTTTCTGAATCCCCACAATTCATTCAACATATATTTCTTGAGCACCTACTTTGTGCCAGAAACCCTGCTGAGCTCTTTTCACATACTGTCCTCAATTTCATAGCATCCCGTGCACTTGGGTTGTTTGTCCTGCACAGAATGAGATGACCTGGAGAGCAGGAAGCCATCTTCTCACTTACTTACCTAGACATCTGTGGATGTTTGTGGTTTCATACATACTTGGGATCATTTTGCATATGGAATTTGGTATCTACTTTTGTTATTCTACATTTTTAAATGCAGTCACATCTAATGGCACCTAGCAGAGAGCAGGTGCTCGTGAAATATTTGTTGAATGAACAGACAATAAAATTTGTAAAATCTATCAAAATCAATTATTTGTCATTCAGACAACAGCTGATACCTACGAAAATATGTTCACTGCAACAATGGAACAGCAGAACACAGGAAGCAGACTCAGTGGTTACCCATAGGTAGGTTAAATACAGTGTGATATATACTAACAATGGAATAGCATGCAGCTGTGAAGAATTGGGTGGGTGTCATGTGCTAATTTGGAAAAATCTCCAAGACCTATCAAATTTTTTTTAAATTAAAATGTATAACAGGATCATAAAATGATACCATTTCTTTAAATAGAATATGAGTCTGTGTGTGTGTAATATATATCCAGGAAGACACCTAATTAATAACAGATGTCATCTCTAGGGAGAAGGCTAAAGGATTGGGGTCAATACACTTCTTAATATACGTGTATTACATTTGCAACTTAAAAAAAATTATACAGTGAGCATGTTCCTATCATATTACTCTTCAAAACTGTGATTTTTAACAGTCCAATGTATTATATGGATATACAATCATTTATTTCACCAAACCCCTATTATGATGGATATATTTTTATAATAAACAATCCTGTCATAGATCACAATACTATTTGCTTGTACAGATCTGATCATTTTCTAAGATACATTCTCAGATGTGAAATTGCTGAGTCAGAGGGTATGAGCCAGGTTTAAGGTTTTGTGTTTTTTTTTGTTTTTTTTTTTGGTAAACAGCCCCATGAAAAGGCTGCACCAAGTTATACTCACTCTGGGAGGGGCCCAGGCTGCTCCTGACTTGGGTACCATATGGTGCATGCACCCCATGTTCCTGTGCCACCCAGCCCACAACTTTTCCCTTTCTTGTGGGTGGGTGCTGAGGTGGGGGTGTGAGGGCCTCGGAAGTAGCTGGGAGACATCCTACTTGGGGCTTCTGGTTCTAGAAAAGCTTGTTTTCAAAGGGCCTGAGGTTGAGGCCTCCATTTGCCTGGCTGAGCCCCCGAGTACTCCCCATTAGTGCTGAATGTGACAAAGCCAGGGCCTTTGCTGGGGAAGAGGAGGTAGAGGAGGCATCCCCACGGCAGGCCCAGCACTAGCGGGGGCTCCTCATCCTCAGCGTCTGTCTGGGAAGCCTGCTTAGGGGACGAGAAAAGCCACCTTGCTATTTTTGACACTTTCATCTTGGGTTGGAATGGAAGGAAAAAACCACTTGGGTTTGCTTTTTATACACGTGAACATGCAGGCAGTCAATGGAAATTTACCAGCTTCAGTCCCATATTCAGGCCTTTTGTAAATCTGTCTCCCAACTTCAGAATAACTACAACCCTCCTGTGCTCATTTTGCAGTCCACAGAGGATTTCCGTAGCCCTCTGAGCAACTCTAGGAGGGAGGAACTTCAGAGACTTGTTCGAGGATCCCCCAACTTGAATTCAGGTCTTCTGACTGCAAGCCCGTGGCTCTTTGCTTCCCACCCTGAGGCACTACTTTGCAAAGAAACAATCGCCACCAATTTTCCTATAAGCCTTGCTTTCTTCTCAATCCCAGCTCAAAAACACACCTGCAGAACAGGATGCGTTAGCCTGTTCCCTGCAGCCCCTCCAGGACCAGCCACCTCTTGGGTCTCAGCCACCACTGATCCCTTATCCTGGCTCATCAAGCAAAGCTCCTGGGGTCCTCATCTGTGGGATTTGCTGCCTTTTCTCAGACCACTTGGTATTCCCAGAATGCTCTCTCTTCACCCACCCATTCCCAAGCCCCTTCTCTCCCAAGGTCTCTCTGTGGTGGGTCCCAGCCCTGGTGCTTCTCTTGTGCCTCAGTCCAGCACTGTGTGCCCAAAGGCCGTGACACTGGCCATCCTTCCTTGGCTTAGGTCCCATCCCTTTGGCGTGAAAAATAATCCAATTAGATTTCTGAACTCCTTGGAGTCCCCAGTCCAGCATGAGGGATACAAAGAGGAACTGGCAAGGCAGCCAGGGCCTCAAGAGTGGGTCAGCACAGGTACACAGATTGATGGCAGAGCCAGACCCAGGCCACAAAGCCTAGCTGGGCTCTATCCCCAATTTCATCACCTCTCTAGGGACCCAGAACATGGTCATGTATTGGCAGTCTCCTATAAAATGATGTCCAGTCAGGGTTACTTACCATGGAGGCAAAGATGGGCAGGAACAGGGTGGTGGTGGCCACATTGCTTGTGCACTCAGTGAACACAGCAACAAGCAAGGATGAGATGAGGGTGATGGCTGTGGGGGACACTAAGTGCAAGGGCTCCATCTGCTTCCCCATCCACTCGGACAGCCCTGAGGCCTGGGAAGCACCGGGAAGGCAGTCATGTCAGGGCTCCTGGCTCCCAGCTCCTCCAGGGCCAGGGGACCTTGGCCCTCCCTCCCCTGACTCTCTTTGTTCTGTGCTCGCTCCTTAGGTGGCCTCATCCTTCCCCGTAAGTGTAATCTCCATCCTGTCTCTGAAATCTGTTTTTCCAGGATAGCTGGTTTCCTATCTGGATTTAAACATCCATAGGACTTCTAGATATCTCCACCCGGATGTCCATGAGCACAGTAGACTCAACATGCCCAAACTGGAATTCATCCTGTTTAGCCCAAAATCTGCTTCTCTCTCTGGGCTCCCCAGTTTGGGCAAACCAGAAGGCTGGGAGGTTATTCTGCAGGGCTCTGTCCCCCTCATTCCTTATACCCAGTCAGCCACCAAGTCGCCCAAAACATCTCACATTCATCTCTTCTCAGGCCTCACAGTTTTTGAAGCTCAGGAGATTTGGGCTAGAAATTAAAGATTTAGATTTAGGGGTTGGAGCTATGAGAAGATTGTCCAGGAAGAAAATGAAGAGGAAGCAGAGAAGAGGCCAAGGACAGAGCCTTGAAGAACATTGCTAATTATGGAAGAACCAAGGAAAAGGCAGCAACAGAAGCTGAGCAGAACTGTCAAAGTTAGAAAGAAAGCAGGAGATACTGGTGTCTTGGAGGCCGAAGGAGGAGCAATGTCAAGGAGAGAATGGTTTTTTGAGTCCAAGGTTATGAGACTGAGTTAGGTGAAGACCCCAGAGCCACAAATGATTCTCCTTCAATCCCTGCCTGCCCAGATAGAGTGATTTTTCTCATATGCACACCTGCAAGTCACTCCCTGGCCTCAGCCCTTCATTGGCTCTCCATTGCTTTCACTATCAAATCCATCTCCCTATCATGAATTCAAGGCCCTCACACAAGTAAATGGTTTCTGCTAGCCTCATCAGCCTCATATTCTCCTGTTCCTAAGCTAGCTGTCTCCTGCTTTTTTCCTTGCTTGAGTCATTTCCTGAAATACCCTTCCAGATATGTGCCCCTCCCTAATCTGTGAAGTCCTCAAGAACAGGGACTATGTCTTAATTTCCACTATAATCTCCATGCCTGGCCTAATACTAGGGACATAATAGGAATGTTAGATGGATGAGTGGATGGATGGATGGATGGATGGATGGATGGATGGATGGGTGGATGGATGGATGGTTGGAGAGATGAATAGATAGATGAATGGATGGGTGAGTGGGTGGATGGATGGATGGATGGATAGAAAGATGGCTGGCTGAATGGAAAGGTGGATGGATGGATGGAGAGATGAATAGATGGGTGGATAGATAAATGGATGGATGGATGAATGGTTGGGTAGATGGATGGGTGGGTGGATGGATGGATGGAGATATAAATAGATGGGCAGATGAATGGATAGACTAGTGGCTAGATGTATGGATTTGTTCATTCAAAAAGTATTTTGCATCCACTATGCACCAGGCTCTGTCCTAGACACTGAGGAAATGAGAATAAGTGTATCTATTATATTCCTGAGTGGATAGGTGGATCGATGGATGGTCAGAAAACAGCAGCACCCTCCTTCTAGCTCATTTCTTCCCAAAGGCAGTAGAGAGAGTTATATTTTTGGATGTTTTCCAAAACATTCCTCTCTCTTCTGTTGCTACATACTTAGCTAAAGAAAGATTTTGAAATAGCTACCACGTAAACAAAGAGTTCAGGAAGTAGCAGACCAAAGGTAGTAGCAAAAATAAATTGAGAGATAGATTTTCCTGGAATAAATAAAAACAGAGATCATTATTGCCAAACCCCAAATGGGGCCTCACAGTGTCCTCTGCCTCTCTTGGCTAACCAGGATCACTTAGTCACTCGTTTCTACAATCACTCAGAGTACTTTCTCTCTTCCAGGACCTACTCATGGTACAGGGCTCCTAGATAACCAGACAGAGTCACTTGTCCTCAAGGAATATGTGGTTATGTGGAAGAGACAGGCCCAGCGATGGAGGTCTTTGGTCACCCTCTTGGTAGAAGAAGGGGGCCCTGGGCAGCCTATGGCTGAAGAGATTACCTCACATCCTTTAGCCACAGCAAATCCACCCCCTAGTAGCAGCACAATGCCCCAGGGCACTTTCTCCTGGGTCACCTTCCAATTCAGCAGTGCAGGGGGATAAAACGGAGTTTTCCTTTCTGAGAAGAAAAAATAAACACACACACACACACACACACACACACACCCCAGAGCAGCATTAGAAAACAAAAGAGATAGGTTGGATGCAGTGGCTCACAGCTGTAATCCTAGCACTCTGGGAGGCAGAAGCAATAGATTGCTTGAACTCAAGAGTTCAAGACCGTCCTGAGCAAGAACAAGACCCCATCTCTCCTAAAAAGAGAAACATTAGCCAGGTGTTGTGATGGGTGTTTGTAGTCCCAACTACTCAGGAGGCTGAGGTGAGATGATCCCTTAAGCCCAAGAGTTTGAGATTGTTGTGAACTATGACACCACAGCACTCTACCCAGGGCACAGAGTGAGACTCTGTCTCAGAAAGGAAGAAAAGAAAAAATAAAAAAAAAGAGAGATGTAACCAAGATGGAACAAAGCCAATATACCCAGTGAGGTACCATCTCATACAGGTAAATTAGCTAAAATTTACAATAATTATCATAAATGTTGCTGGGGAAGATATGATAAAAGTATTACACACACCACTGAGAGCATTATAAATTGGTACAACCTTTTTGAAAGCAATTCAGTCATATATTTTAAGAACTACTGAGACATTATATTCTTTTTTTTTTTTTGAGACAGAGCCTCAAGCTGTCACCCTGGGTAGAGTGCCATGACATCATAGCTCACAGCAACCTCCAGCTCCTGGGCTTAAGCAATTCTCTTGCCTTAGCCTTCCAAGTAGCCTGGCTAATTTTTTGGTTGTAGTTGTCATTGTTGTTTGGCAGGCCCAGGCTGCATTCAAACCCGCCAGCTCTGGTGTATGTGGCTGGTGCCTTAGTCGCTTCAGCTGCAGGCGCTGGGCCCATTTATATTCTTTTATCCCAACAATAATATCACGCCTAGAAGAAGACATGCCCACAAAAGAAAAGCTATGCACAAGAAAATATTCATTTATAACAATGAAAAATGAAAACAGCCACAATGTTCCACAAAAGGAAAATGGTTATAGTTCCTTAATGCAATATAATGCCATTCTTAGATAAAACATATTTGAAGGCTGTAGCAAGAGTAAGAAATGCTTATAGTGTAATCTCAAGAAAAAACAAAACCCCAAAACAACAAAGAAATAAGATCCAAACTGTGTGTGCTTTGATTATAACCATATAATATATATGCATACTAACAAAGAAACAATAAAAAGAGATTGATGGAATTATGGGAGATTTGGAAACATTTTCTGTTCTTCTGGTAATATAAATAAGACATCAAAGTTTTAAAAAGTAAAAAAGAAGAGATTCTGCACTAAATATAGTAATACCACCATTGGCAAGAAGACCATGATCTTCCAGGCTGTTTTGTTGTGGCCAACTCTCTTCAATAAGAGGGGAGTTCTCTCCCTCCTGGGCCCAGGGAATCCCATGGAGGGTCTTTACTTCCAGAGCCCCAATCCTGATGACTGGGAGAAGCCTTACCTTCCTCAGTCTGGCTCCAGAAGTTGAACTTGGGCTTCTGTGAAGGCAGAATGAATAGCAAAGTGGCCACAAAGATGGCCACAGTGGCGTCAGTGGCGTACCTGGGAGGGGAAGAGCACACAGGACTTCAGCCGAGCTCCACTACTGTGGAGACAGCCATTCGATAAACCTGTCCTAACTCTGGCAGATCAGTGTCCAAATGCTTCTACCTGAAGGAACAAGCACAAGCAGGTATGAAAACTAGAGCCCTCCAAAGCCAGATCAGGAGTGGTGCCCTGACTGGAAACCAAGACATCCACACTCTTGACCACCAACTTTGGGTGAGCCACGAGCAGCCTACATCCGCCTCTCAGCCTGCATTGCTTCACCTTCCTGCCCTTCTCCTGGCCAGATTCTCCAGAATTCTGGGTTCAGTAATGTGACCACAAGGATTTTGGTTCAGACTTTCAAATGGAATAGCCAGTCACAGACAGTATCTCCCCCCCCACATCTTTTGCCTTTTCTAGAAAACACCTGTTTCTCAACCTTACTTCCATTCTGACAATCTCTTAGCTGAAAGAGAAACTACATATACTCCCCACCCCTTGCCAACTTTCTGTCTAAGAAGCTTCTGGACCCAGATGTGTGTCTTAGGAGGAACTTGACTGGACCCAAAGAAAGGTAAGAAATGAAATACAGCAAAGAAGAGAATGGGAAGCCACACTCCTAGCCACCCCTGCCCAGCCAAATATTCTCTGCTCAGACTACTGGGGGAGGAGAAGTCATCACAAAAACACAGCTGCAGTCTTACCATGAAGACCTGTCAGAAAAAAAAAAAATGAATCATAAAACCAACAGAGTGCTCTCTGAAACCCATCTTCAGAACAGAAGTCCCCGGGTCAAGCACAGGTGCCCAGCCCTGGACATTCCTCTGGACACCCAAGGCTGAGAACAGCAGCGTTTAGGCACAGTATTCTAAGCCAGAGTGTTTTACTGAACAAAAGACTTACTTTCTCTCACCCTCCACCCAGGCGACAGACAGCCAGCCAGGCATGAAGCCAGGGTCGCGAGAGAACCACAGGACGACCAGCAGGACAAAGCAGATCAGGACGTTGATCTCCGCAAAAGAGAAGGGCCCCAGCTTCCTGTACTCCTCCTGCAGCATCTTGTAGGCAGCTTCATCATTCCCCTTCTCCAGCAGGCAGCCCCAGGCTTTTTTAAAACTAGAGAATGCAAAGGGCAGGTTAGTTGGCTCAGGTGTCGGTCAGAGCCTGAGCTCTGTACAGCAGAATGTAACCGAAAGACAAGTGATGCTGCCTCTCACCCGCTGTGGGGCCTGGAGCAAGTCCCTTCTGCCTTCTTTCCTCCTCTTCTCTAATCTGCCTACCCCACCTCCCAGGACATAGTAGGGAAAAGTCTCTGTGGAGAGGCCAAAAAGTCTCCGCAGCTGCCCAGTCACCTGGAGATCAACTGCTCCAGCATCACCTGAGGGAAGGCTATAGGCAGTTGTGGAGCCTAGTCAAGGTGGGACCAGAGCTCCCTCTCATGTTCTCCAAGTCTTTCTCCCCCCCACTCAGCTTGGCACTGCCTCGGATGGTACTGGGATGCCAGCCCCCACCACTAAGGAGGCTCAGGAGGATACAAGGAATGAGGACAGGTCCCTGCCCATAAGCTGGGGAGTCTGTGTTCCCCAGAGTTGGAGGTATAGGGTGAAGATTAGGGTTAGGCGAGCCTGGGACTGGCAGCAGGCATGGCTGGAGCAGGAGGGAAGCCAACCCAGGCTCTGCTCCTGAATAGGTCCCTTCGGGACAATGCCCAATGCCCAGGGTGCCTGCAGGCCTCCTATAGGGTGGGGCTGGCATGAAGAGGCAAGAAGGAGGGATGTTCTCAGAGGCATAGAGGGTAGCTTGGCTGTGGAGAGGGGTAATGGGGGCCACTATTGTGTAGGACTCAGCCCTGGCATGCATTCTCATTCCATCTAATATTATTCTGAAGGGGTAGGCAGGCCAACAGCACTGTCCCCAGAGAGCCCTTTCTGTGACAGGGCTTTCTGGGGCCCTAAGACGAAGTAGGGCATAGGGTGATGGAATAGGTACTAATTCCTGGAGCCAGGGCTGGGTGTTAACTGCTTTTGAGAGTGTGAGAGCCATGCTGTTGATGGTGGCACAGCCTAGAACATGGGGACACATGGGATGTCAGGACTCCTGGAGTGTTCAGGGGTTAGAAAAGAGGTAGCAGAGACGTGATCCCAGGTCTGCACAGCTTCCCAGGATCTCAGTGCTGGACAAGGGGCAAGGCTATGTGTCCCTAGGGTCACCATCTAGAAGATCATCGGTCATGGGGACAACTTTGCTGGTGTGGGAGGGGGCCTTTTTGCCTTCATAGCCTTGGCTTGGTAAAGTCTGTGCTCTACCCAGCATCGATCTGCTGCCACCTGTCGTCCTACAGTTGCAGGGGCTTAGCCAGGGGCTTCAGGTTTCCAGGATAAGGGAAACCTGGTATTCCTAGCTTCCCAGCAGGGGGCGAAAAGGAGCCCCAGCTGGCATCTGGTACTGGTGACAGGTCCTGTATAACACAGGGGCTACAGACTCTGGAGCTGCATTAAATATACAGTTGTCAGATGCTGCTCCTTGACAGTAGTGCCACCAAGCCTTCAGAACCCTCTTGCACTAAGCCTTTTCACCCTCATCTCTGGGTTAGTTTAATTTGGCGACTGCCAGGCTGGCAGGAGATGCAGGCATATAGATCCACTTGGCTTGTGAGAGCCCTGGGACAGGAGCAGGGTCCACAATGTCCTTCTGCCGCAGAATGACCTTCACCATGATGCACCCTGGTCAACTTGGACTGAATATATTGCAGAGCCAAAGAGAGGGATAGGATCCTTGAGTCTCCAAGTGCCTCTGCCATGGCAGAGGTTCAGAACACCCCTCATCCCTATTGTACAGGGTTAGATGGTTGGGACAGTCGATTATAAGCCAGTAATAATATCCTACATAGTTGTTGGCAGACAAGGGGGGAGTAGTCTGTGGCCCCCCTTGGGAGGTAGAGCCTAGGAGTCTACCTATAAACTCAGTTATAGATCAGGTTAGAGGCCAACACATTTTTTTTTTTTTTTTTGAGACAGAGCCTCAAGCTGTCCCCCATGGGTAGAGTGCCGTGGCATTACAGCTCACAGCAACCTCCAACTTCTGGGCTCAAGCAAGTCTCCTGCCTCCACCTCCCAAGTAGCTGGGACCACAGGCGCCCGCCACAACACCCGGCTATTTTTTGGTTGCAGCCGTCATTGTTGTTTTGGCGGGTCTGGGCTGGGGATTCGAACCCGCCACCTTAGGTGTACGTGGCTAGCGCCTTAGCCGATTGAGCTATAGGCGCCGAGCCAAGGCCAACACCTTGACATTGCTCTCCATAATCATCCAGATGAGGGACTCAACCGAGCAAGGTGTGATAGTAGAGGTGCATCCTGCAGGTGAGACAGGTGCTCCCTGGCCTTGGGTGGCCTTGGAGGTAGGCAGGGACCATCAGATCCTGGTATGTGCCAACATGTGGCCTATGCCAGAGCACTGTTCCCATCATTCAAACTAAATGTCAAAGCTGTCCTGTACCTTCTAGATCTGGAACCAAAACAAGGCTCTTGTGAGCCACTCCTGACAGGAAGTTGTGACACTGGACTGTAGCCACGCACCCCTGCCATGAGCAGGCTCCAAAGCCCCAACACAGCAGACATCAACATCATCCAGGCTCCCTGCCAGTCAAGGAGAGCTGATAGAGGCCATGCCAGGTGGATGAACTGCAGTTTCAGATTCTTGGCTGTGAGTTCCCAGGGGCCTAGTATCTGCCCCTAGCCAGACAGAAGGCTGAGGATTGCCTTGTGGCCTTGGAGCCAGGCCAGCTCCCTCCTCTTGCTCAGTAGGCTATAAGGGTCCAGGGTGGCCTTCGGGTTCCCACCGGTGCTCCTAACACCCGGTCATGCCCAAATGGGAGGCTGACTAAGCAGCAACCCTGGGCCTTTTCAAGAGGGAATGTAGCATAGTGGAAGCCAAACTACCTGAGAGCAAATCTCAGTCCCACTTCTTCCAAGTTACATATCCCTATAGTGACTCATGTACCCTCTCCATGTCTCAATGGCTTTCTCTGTAAGTTGGGAATCATAATAATAGTACCTACCTCACAAGTTGTTGTGGAGATTAATGAAGTTCATTTATTTAGAGTTCTTTAAAAAGAGACTGACACATTAAGAAGCACTTAGGAAAAGTCAGTCCCTGCTATTTCTATTGCCCCACAAGGAGACACAAGGAGACCTACAGCAGGTGCAGGGCCATCTCTTGATTGGCCTGCTGGATAGATATGAGCAAACAAGACTTTAGTCCTAGTGCAGATTTGAGAAGCAGGGCAAAGAGGGCTGCTGTGTGTACAAACAGCCATGGGAGCAGCTTTCCCTTCACAAGGGCCTATACACAGGTAGGGTGGGGTGGGGGGTAGCTGATGCTATTATCATTATTATGACTATCTGGAATGTGTATAGCAATTTTTAAACAGTTTTCAAAACAATTACTCCTTCAATAAAAAAACTTAGAAAATGCTCCATTTCCTCCATTAAATCACAGGTTTCCATGGGCCCTTTTGCATCTCAGATCAGCAATCTTTCCCCTCTGGTCACATACTCCCCTGTTTTTACTTGGCTTGAGCTCCCTGTAAATGGAGGCAGAGCATAGCTACTTAGCTCAGAGCTAAGTACATTCTATTCCAGGGTGACATGATTACATTTACACCACAGATAAATGTGTCTTTTAAAATAACAACAACTCTTTGTCAGCCACACGTCATGGTTTCTGACCAAAGTCTGGCTGCTATTAAAGGTGACTCTCTGTGCACTTGTCGGTGTGCGGGAATAGGAAGATAAACTTTCCAGGATCCACACGCTGCTGGGAACATCACAGGCATTTGGTAATGGTCTGGGTTTGGATCGATTTGGATGTTTCAGGATGTTTACTGTGACCTGGCCTAATGGACCCGTGTGGACAAGTGGAAGTTTGTCCAGAAGTGTGGATCTAGCACATGGGGACAAGGTTCTTTTTAACTGCTTTTACCCACTTGGCTCTTCCTTCCTGGGCTAGAAGCTGTACCAGGTGTCAGAGAGGCCCTGGAGGCACTCACAGTCAGGGAAGGGGCATCATTGAAACAGGAATGCAGGTGCTATGGGATGGGGCTGTGATGTGTCCAGGGGCAACCCAGAGGTGTGGAATGAGGCAGGAGAAAGTCAGGGAGGCAGCATAGGAAATGGCCTGGAAGGCTGAGGAGTTAGGATGGCCAGAAGGTTGGAAATGGTATTCCAGAAGAGGAAGCAGCATGGCAGAGACATAGTGGGAGGTTGGAGCAGGAGGGCAGACTAGAGGGAGGTGGGGCTGGAGAAATGGTTGGGGCCAGACAAAGAACTCTTCAGACTCGCCTACTGAGTCTGAGGGTTTGTCTACTGGCGCATGGCATAATTAGACTCTCTGTTCCGTGAGCAGCTGGAACTTACTTGCATCTCAGGTAAATATACTGGAGCCACAGCCAGGTGAGCAGCAGCATTATCAGCATGTTGGGGAAGGCGAATCCAAACCAAGAGGCGAAGTTCACAAGGTCTTTACTGTCAGGAAACAATCTGAAAGAAGGGACATCGGTTCACACCTCGGCCCAGATGCTGAGCTGTGGAGGGCCGGAAAGGTGTTATCCCCCAGTCAAGTGGGGGCCTCAGAACATGGCGGAAGTACAAAACAAAGCTGAAGGATGGCCAACCCACCTTTCTGCTAAGAATCTCATGGAAGTTATGGGCCCTCCCTCCAGAAAAATACACCTGTGTACCCACACATGCACATAGTGGGGCTGACAGTGTCAGGAGAACCCTCAGAGCACTCATCCTGTGTGTTTCTGCAAGGGAAGAGTCCCCTTAGCAAAGCTTAACAAATCTCAAAAGCTTCCCAGACTAGGGGCTGCAGGAGGGTCACTCCTCCCAACTGGGCCTCTGCCGGTCTTAGGGGTTGCCCCCTTTAGCTCAAAGGTATCAAAGCAGACACAGAATTTTCTCCGCTCAGCACAGACAGGCTGCTTTTCCCAAAGAAAGCTGTGAGAGAGCTAGAAGGATATCATTATAGAAAGCACTTCCAGGATCAAACGATCTGCTTGTTGAACCTCAAGCGTCTGCCAGACCTATCCTTTCTGCCTCCCAGCTCCTGTGCTAGCCACGCTCCCCACCCCTGGCCAGGACTCTTGTCAGCATGCGGGGGGGCACCAGTTTATTTTCATTCCTTCCCCCTGCAATTTGTACACACCTCAGTTATGCATTTACTTACCAGACCCGCCTGGAACTCTCCAGGCTCCTGCCACCCTCAGCAAACCACACGTACCCTAGAGTCCATACCCAGGCTTCTTTCCCTTCTTAGAATCCCGCACCCCTCACCCAAGCACAGAAATGGGGTCCTCAACTCATGACCTCTGTCCCTTTGTGGCCAAGGCTGGAAAGTTCCAAAGCACCCCTAGGGTCCACCTGGGTGATGAAAGGGGGATGTCACCCCAAGGCAGTAAGTGGGGCTGTAGTGAATGAAAAGCTGAGGCAGTAAGTGGCCTATCTGCAGACCCCAATGTCCTGGACCATCACCTAAGTTGGTGAGCCAAAGTGGGGGAGTGTATTTTAGAGGCATCTATTTTCTACAAATTTTAACCAAGGACCCGGCATCTGGAACTATATTGTCATCTTCCAAGACATTAGCTCAGAGTTCAACCCATATTCTTCCTCTGAGCCCAGGGCAGAAAGGTGGGACTCACACCAGGCCAGAAAGCCAACATTAGCTGCCCTGGTGTCAGCTTCCCGTCCCGTCTGAGGGTTTCTGAGCAGGTACAGGGATGCCAGGACACAGAGGTTAGACAGGCGCACATCTTCCCACCCCCTCCCAAGCTCCCAGACCAGGCCTAGCTGCCCCCACCCCCACCCCCCGCTCCAGGGACTAGCCGAGAAAAAGGGAGGGGTGGAGTAGGTCCCTCTAGTCCTGGGGCCCACTTTGTTGTCCCCAGGTGTGGTCAGTAACTCACTCATTCATCTGGCCCGAGAGTACCACATTGGGTCCCGTCCCAGTCAGGGTGGCAGTGCCCCCGATGCTGGCGGCATAGCACACACACAGGTTCATGGCCTTGCACATGCTCTTCCTGTCATGGTCTTTCTGCTGCCCCAGGACGGGGCCTTCAAAAATCACTTGGTTCCCTGTAGTGGCACAGTGCTATTATTAGCTGAGGCAGTAGTGGAGGCTGCCCGCCTAGCCCCAGCCCCAGCTTCTAACCTGCTGCTAACCTGAGGATTAGGCCATCCCAGCCCCTCCAGATCCCTTCTCATGCACTCCTCAGCCTCCAGCCCAAAGTCTGGCCCTCTCTGCCTCCCACGGTCACTTCCCATGGCTTCCCCAAGGCTCCTCGATGCTTTGCCAATACAACTGAAGACGAGAGGCCTCTCTCCTGCTTCCCTGCTGCTGCTCAAACTGGTCCCTCCACGTGGGAGGCGTCTACCTCCTCACAAGTTCTCTCCCTTTTCTGAGTTCCCCCAATCTGGCTTATGGCACCCCCAAATCTGATGGTTTGTGGGAGGGGCCTATTTCTGCTGCCCCACTAGGCTCTGTAACAGTCTGGTCTGGCAATCAGGCCATGCCCTGAGTCCCCTGTGCTGGGCCCTGGGGACAGTAGAAACAAGGCAGATTCTATCTTGCCTTCCCTGATCTCGAACCTAGCCAGGAAATAGGTCACCAACCCCAGGACCCATGGGAGCAGAGAGTTGAGAGGTTTGACCTGCTGGTGGTCAGAAAAGACCTTCCTGAGGATAAGCAGGAGTAACAAGCCCCCAGCAGGCACTTAGAAGATGCCCAAATGAGGAATCAAATGAATACCTTGACTCGTGAGACTGGGAACCAAGGGTGGGACTTTGCTCTAAGCTCTACTAAAGGATCTAAACTTTATACAATAATCACTGTCCTAAAATTTTTAAAAACAGTATTATATAATTTTTCCCCTATTCATGTTTAAAGGATGGGTCCGGGAAGCAGAAAGAAAGGAGAGGTGGTCACCGAGGGGAGGGCTGCCGTTGTGGCTCTGGCAGCACCTGGGCCGGGGGCTCACCTGGCAACTCGCTGGCCTTGTCTTTGTCTACCAGCTCAAGTGCCCCAAGGCTGGCCTCAGTGGCTGTGCTGGTGGCTTCCATCTGCTGCAGCATGGCCTCCACGATGGGCACCATCATGGCTGTGGTGGCCGTGTTGCTGATCCACATGGACAGGAAGGCCGTGACGCCCATGAAGGCCAACATCAGCCTGCAGAGGGGCAGGGAAGGAAGCCGGAGAATCCCCACCCCGGCCCTGTGCCCCAGGGAGGCAGCAGGGCTAGGCCCACCCCCACAGATGCAAAAAGGCACATGCCAATTCAGGTCTGGGCATTCTAATGGGGTTACAGTCTGGGTGCCTCCTCTCCCTCCCAGCCGCCCCCCTTCTCTTCCCCACATACATTGCTGATGTCTACTCTGATGACTACTGGGGTCACCAAGAGGCCCTAGACTACATCATGGTTCTAAGGAGCTCGCATCTATCAGGGAAGCACCAGTATCCAGATGGTGCCAACTCAAGGTGCACTTGCCCACATATGACCAGGAGTGTGCTGGAGTATCCCCATGTGCAGCTAGCTCTAGCTTCCCACTTCTGGCTAGAAGAGCCAGCTCAAAAGTTCAGAAAGTCTATGCCCAGTAAGACTGCAGGAGTATGGCAGGGAGGGAGCTTGGGGACCTGTGAGCTTCCTCCTGGTTCACTGTCAACCCCTCCCTAGGCCTCCCCTTCTCTCCACACACATACTTTGCCCCCCTCCACTTTGCAGTGGACAAAATCAAAAGGTATTCAGGAAATACATTCCCATTACCTCTAAGCCCTGCTCCCTTCTCTGCCATCTACCTGGAAAATTCCTTCTGGTCCTTCAGTGCCTGTTCAGGCACGTCCCTCGTCTAGGGCCTCCCTCACGGTGCACACCAGGAGGGGCTGGCCACGCCCTCCTCCACCCTCCTACTACATGGGTTACTATGCTGGGTTAAGGCCCCCGTTTCCATGGCTTCTCTCTTAAACATCTCTTAGAACAGGGCAGGGCCTGACTTTTGTCCAGCGCTCCACACACCCCAGCTGGACAAGGCCAGGGACAGAGGTGGCACAGGGGCTGTCTGCAGTATACCCCTCAGCCGTCAGGCCTCTCCTTGGAGATACTAATTTGCCAACATGTGGAGCCTGAAGAAGGGACCCAGTGGCTGCACTGCACCAGGGTTCAGGCTGGTGTTCCTAAAAATTGACCTGTGGACTCATAGAAACAAAGGCCAGAACCCAGGTTACAAGGAGGCACCAAAGGGGCCCCACATCCAGGTCACCCCAGAACAGCAGTGCCCATGGACAGTTAGAAGCCAAGCTCAGAGAAGTAGCCAGGCAATAGAAAGGAGCAGAGAAGCACGTGCTTATTCCTTGGCTTGCCAAGCAAAAGCCTTCGGCACATGCCAGAATGAAGCCCACTGTGATGGTTTCCCACCTGCTGTTGGAGAAAAGTTGACCCCTCAAAGGGGCCAGGAATAGGAATTCTAAGGGCTCTAAGGTCCACTTTCCTGAGGCCTCACATTTCTAGAAAATACAATGGCATGACCAGCATGGTAGCTGTGCCTATAATCCCAGCACCTTGGGGGGCTGAAGTGGGAGGATTGCTTGAGGCCTGTAGGCCAGGTTCCAAAAACTACAACAGCTTTTGATTTGACCTTTTAAACCAGTCACTAGAGGGGACGAATGCCATGAAGGGTAACAGAGATCACAGAGCCACAACATCCTCTGCTCAGGGAAGCGAGAGGCACCCAGGGAGCCCCAGGCATGGTCTCTGACACACAGAGGTCTCAGGAGAATTTACTGTGAATTTGCTGCTGCCTTTCAAGGGATAGGCTGCGGACATGCCATGATTTAGGGAGTACATTGTCTCAAGTGAAAGATGCACCCTGAGTTCCTGATTAGAGGGGACATGGGCCTTATCAGAGAAGCTGGGTCCAATCCCCATGTGACCATCAACAAATCATTTCTCTCTGCCTCAAATTCCTCATCTATAGAACGTGGGGGGTATGAATAATAGCCAGCTCTCCGAGTTTCAGTGAGGAGGTGATAAATAAGCTCCCAGGATCATGACTGGGGGTGTAGACAGTCAACGTACGCATTAGGATTGTAATTATGATTATATCAATTCCATGGGCTGGCAGGAATGGTTGGTGTGCCTAGTGGTGGAAGAGGTCTTGGAGAAAGGAAGAAACTGAGATAATGAGTCGTGTGGGGGAAGATAGGTCTAGAACCTTCTTTGCAGGGGGAAGAGACATCTCAGCAGTGGAGAATAACCTTTTTGCTTCTGAACTGGATAGTTATCCCACCTCTGGCTTGCTTCCCCCACAATCTCCTGTCAGGAATGGCTTGATCCAGCCTCCATCCAACTTGCTCCCTAAGGATCCCTTCCCCCAGAAAACCTTCCAAACCTACAAGGAGTCTTACTCACCCGTCCCCTCTGGGTTCAGAGATCCCTCACCTACTGCTGCTCCTCACATGCTATCACCACCCCTCACTCATCTGATCTTCCCAGGGAAGATGTAACATGCCCTACCTGAGGGCCAGCCTGTCAAGCCCAAGTGTGCCCATGTCTAGCCCTTACTAGCGGGCAGCCTGGCCTGTGTCACCCTCCCCTTCCCAGCCTTGGGGCCCATGCAGAGCCACGTGGCAAGAAAGAGAAGGTGTCATTACTGTGCAGGCTTGGCCCCCACCCAGAGGAGCGTCCGCAGGGCGATCCTCTTGTGCAGGTTCCAATGCTCCACGGCCACAGCCACCATGAGGCCACCCAGGAACAGCATGTTGGTGTCCTTCATGTACTGGACACACACCTGGAGGGTGGCATGAAAGCTGTGTCAGGGCTGCCCCCAGTCACACACTGCTTGGGCACAGGGCCACCCATGTCCCCAGAGACAGGCCAGCAGGCTACTTCAGGGACAGCTTGGGAGCCGAAGCAGGGGACGATGCAGGCTCCAGTGGCTGTGATTCCTCGCCAGGGAGATTCCACAAATGGGGCTTATCTGGTTACCCCAGGCCTAGGGAGCTCAGAGGGGCTTGAAGAATGAGGCAAGGGGAAAACTAGGAAGTCCTGCTCACCTCCTTGGAGTCCAGGATCTGGAAGAGTGGGAAAAGCAAGACAGGCATGAGGGAGGTGACAGCCAGAGGGATGACTTCTGTGCACCAGTAAATGGCCATGAGGATGACGACGTAGGCACACCTGACAAACTAAAGAGATGGCCCTGAGACCTCGGCATGCGGCTGTCCCGCTCTCCCCATCCCTGGAGCACCCTGGACAGCTGCTGGCATCACTGTCAGAGGAGAGTGGTAGCATCAGAGGGAAGCTCCTCGGAGTCATCCTGTTCCTGCCCCGCTCAGCACGACTCTCCAGGGTCAGGACAAGGTCAGGACTGTGAGGAGGGTGAAAGATCTATCATCAAAGACTCCAGCCCCGCCCCGCCTCCCCACCGTGTGGTTCCAGGCAAAGTTCCTTCATCTTTCCAAACCTTAGCTTAGCCACCTCTCAAAAGAAAAGAACGTGAATAGGAGGACAAGGAGGAAAAGGGAAAAGAAGAAGGAAAATGAGGAGGAGGAGGACGAGGAAGGGGGAGGAAGGAGAAAGAGGAAACAGAAGGAGGAAAAGAAGAAAATGCAATTTTCATGACAGGCTCTAAGAATTAAGATCACTTTACAGAGTAGACTCTTCTGTTTGCAAATTAAGTGCAATTCTCTCCACGTTTGCTTTCAATACTACTTTTTCTCAACATTCCACGATTGTCATTCTTCCACATAATCTTCATACTGCTCTCTTTTAAAACTGCAAATAAGCTCGGCGCCTGTAGCTCAGTGGTTAGGGCGCCAGCCACATACACCGGGGCTGGCAGGTTTGAACCTGGCCCGGGCCTGCTAAACAACAATGACAACTACAATAAAAAAAAAAATAGCTGGGCATTGTGGTGGGCACCTGCAGTCCCAGCTACTTGGGAGACTGAGGCAAAAGAATCACCTAAATCCAAGAGTTTGAGTTTGCTGTGAGCTGTGATGTCACAGCACTCTACCAAGGGTGACAAACTAAGACTCTGTCTCAAAAAAAGAAAAAAAAACACATAAATTTACAAATATTTCATATGTTTGATGGATCATTTCACTTCTCCTTTGCCTTCCTGCAGCTGAGTAAATGTGGTTTATTTTCTACCCTCAAAAGGATGCCCTGATGGCCCTACTTTATTTGACTCGCCTATTTTTAAAGCAGACCTTAGGACAGGCTGGCTGCCCAAAGCACTTCTTTGAAAACTTGATACTTCCTCCTAATTCCTTTCTCAAAGGGCTGCTCCAGCCTTTTCTGCTTCCAGGAATGGACATGTATACATAGTACCAGCTCATCCAGAAAATCTGCCCTGCACTGAGTGTTTTCAAGGTTTGTTTGTTTGTTTTTTAAACTACAAGTGAGAAGATGGTGCTGGGTGTTTTCACCGGCATTTCTCTACTTACAAAGGTCTCAAGCTATACTATTTGCACTTATGTTTGTAAGAATTGTCCTTTCCTAGCCTTTACCCACCGAAGTCTTCAGGATCTTGTCTTTGGGGTGAGACAGGTCTGGGTCCTCCACTTGCTGTCCTGGCCCCTTACTCGCCATAGGACTTTCAGTAAGTGATTCAATCTCTTTGGCCCTCAGTCCCATTACCTCTTAAAATGTGGATAAAGGCACCCACATCCCTAGGTAGTTTTGTGCATTCTTGTTATAATTCTTATCAGTTACCCAGACTCTGCCCCGTCCCTCCTTCTAGTCCCCTCCAATTAAATTGGTCACGGAGAAGACCTATGGCTTCTATCCTCTTATTTTCAGGCATCTTCCCCCCTCCCGTCCTTTATCCCCCATAGCCAATGCCTCTGCTCAGGCCACGTCTTCTCCTGCCTGGATCACAGCAACTCCCTTCTCATTTGATCTTGCTGTTGGCAACAACTCACACTATCTTCTCTCTTTGGTAAATCCAATCACATCAGCTCCTTGTTTAAAAGCCTTCCATTGCCTTCAGGACAAAACCCAAATGCCACAACAGGACTCACAAGATTCTCCGTAAGGGACTAGGCCCTATAGACTCCTGCGGACCCCTGCAGCTGCACCTCCTGGCCCCTTCACACCCGAGTCCCAGCCACCCCAAAGCACTTGGGGTAGCATAAACAGATGTCCCTCTCACAGCCTCCTTCTCTTACCTGCTCCCTGGGCCTGGAAGAAGGACTCGGAGTTCCCTCTTGGACACCATCCCCAGCCCCCTCCATGGTCTGCTTTGTGCCTTCCCTTTGAGCACCCCAGCAATTAGCACACCAGATTGGCACTGTTTCCTTAACTGTCTCCAGAGCACCGCCACCACCATCACCAAACTGTGCAACTTGAGGGCACATGCAGTACAGTGAGTCCTCACTCAGTGCTGGGTTCTTGCAAACTGACTTTTAAGTGAAATGTTGTGTCACAAAACTAATCTGACCACGGATTGATCGCTATCAATAACAGTTAAGTTCCTATGCCATATTTCTGGTGACAAAAACATCACCCTGGGCAGCACCTTTGGCTCAGTGAGTAGGGCGCCAGCCCCATATACCAAGGGTCGGGGGTTCAAACCCGGCCCCTGTCAAACTGCAACAAAAAATAGCCAGGCGTTGTGGTGAGCACCTGTGGTCCCAGCTACTCAGGAGGCTGAGGCAAGAAAATTGCCTAAGTCGGAGAGCTGGAGGTTGCTGTGAGCTGTGATGCTACCGCACTCTACTGAGGGTGACAAAGTGAGACTCTGTCTCTTTAAAAAAAAAATAATAATCACCAAACTTCTAAATATGCCCAAAACACTTCCAACATGAAGCATTGAAATAATGTGAGCTCTACATACACTTAAGAAAGTCTAGGCTTAGCGCCTGTGGCTCAAGTGGCTAAGGCACCAGCCACATACACCTGAGCTAGCGGGTTCGAATTCAGCCTGGGCCCGCCAAACAATTATGGTTGCAACCAAAAAATAGCTGGGCATTGTGGCAGGTGCCTGTGGTCCCAGCTACTTGGGAGGCGGAGGCAGGAGAATCACTTGAGCCCAGGAGTTGGAGGTTGCTGTGAGCTGTAATGCCACAGCACTCTACCCAGGGGGACAGCTTGAGGCTCTGTCTCAAAAAAAAAAAAAAAAAAAAGAAAGTCTAATGAAAACAAGAAAGATAATTATTTGCCCACTTATTTCAGTTCAGGGACTCAAGTGGCTGGAGACCATTCTAATGGTTTAGGGCACAAGGTGGGCACCCATTCCAGCCCGGACCCCATCCCCCACATCCCATCACAGGATACCCTCACACACCCACACAGACAAGCCAATGGACATCTCTGGGATAAGAGAGGAAAACGGAGTACCCAAAGGAAACCAGAGTGCCCAGAGAAAACCCAAGTGGTGGGGAAAACATGCAAACTCCTCACAGGCGGTGGCTGGAAATCCACTTTTCTCATCAATGCTACAATGAAATGATGTTGAATGAAACAACATTATTTGAGGACCTGCTGCATTGTAGATGCGCCCTGTCCTTGGCGTGCAGCACAGCCCTGACACAGGAGATCTCACCAAATGCCCATTAAACAAATGAATAGCTTCATCCCAGTCCAGCTGGGAGCCCGCTGCTGGAGAAGGATGTACTTACACACTGTTTATCACCACCGGAAAGAGCGTGTGTTAAACAGCACGCAACATCGCAGACAGAGACTTAGCAATTCTTTGTCTGGCTTGTGTTAATTGTCACAAAACATAAGCCTTTTTTCAGCATGTCATGAGCAACCCAGGGACCTCCCTACTGTCTAAAGCAGGGCTCCTCCAGCTAACCTGCTGACATTTTGTGTTAACGGATTCTCCGTTCTGGGGGCCATGGGCATTGTACCTAGTTTAACGACGTCCCTGGTCCCATACAGTGAGATGACTGTAGGACTGTCTCCAGATGTGACAACAAAAGTGACTCCAGACTTTGCCAAAGGTCCCCTGCTGAGGAGGGGGGAAGAATGGATCTGTGCTGGTTCAGAGTCACTAAATCAAAGGGATGGTTAGAAGCCCAGGCTTAGACACCAGGTAGACCTGATTGGTGTCCACTGTCTGCCGTCCTCTGGCCCCTCAGCAGTCACTAACTTCTCTAAGCTTTGGTGTCCAGGGTGTGCCACATGGGCAGACAGTAGGAAGGATCCCCTCCAAGGGCTGACAATAAAAGGTGTATCATAGAGAGTTTTAAAACAATAATTCTAGCTAAGAATCAGTTTGCTTCTTACTATCATCATATAATAACCATTCCAAACAATGTCATTAATAAATTATTCCTCTCACTCCCAATCCTGGTCCCTCTCCCTTCTGGTTTCATGTTCTCATGTATAAATTAAGGATTGAAGAGTACCTATTCTTAACGTAAGGCACATGAAGTCCTTGGTACTGGTACTTATTTATTCTGTAAACCCCAAAGCAGTAGGTGGGGCTGAGTACAGTGGCTCACTCCTGTCATCCTAGCACTCTGGGAGGGCAAGGCAGGTGGATTGCTTGAGCTCAGGAGTTCAGGACCACCCTGATCAAGAGTGAGAGGCCATCTTTAAAAATAGGCAGGCATTGTGGCAGGCACCTGTAATCCCAGCTACTTAGGCGGCTGAGGCAAGAGGATTGCTTGAGCCCAAGAGTTTGAGGTTGCTATGAGCTGTGACGCCATGGCACTCTAGCCAGGGCGATAAAGTGAGACTGTGTGCCCCACCCCCCAAAATAAGAAGTAGTAAGTGGCACCCTAGCTAACCAATTATCACTGCATGCTCCTGGAGGGGTCAGGCATAGCCATTGGAAAAGAGAAGCTACAAGGCTAACTGCCCCTCCCCTCTGTGCCTCCCTTAGGAAGCCCAGGAACTGCTCATTGTGAATAACACCAGTCAACACACTTGGCCTTCCCTAGTCTAGAAATCTCCCACAGTGTCAGTGCAGAGGGCAGAGCAGGAAGGAGGATGTTAGAAAAGTCTGGGGAGGGGCTGGTAACCAGGAAGAATGAGAAGGGGTTGTCCCCGTAGGAGAGGGGCCTGTTTCTGCTGCATACTTCAGAGTACTTCCCTGTAGCTGCGAGAGTGGCCAGAGAGGTGATGAAAGCTGAGATCAAAGGGGGCAATGGGATTCCAGACATCAGTGCCCCGCACAGGGCACAGCACGTACTGGGCTCAATAAAAGTATGTGCCGGCTTGGCACCTGTGGCTCAAGCGGCTAAGGCGCCAGCCACATACACCTAAGGTGGCGGGTTCGAATCCCCACTATATCTAAAAAAAAAAAATTCCTGGCTCGGCG